CGGAAGTCAAACTGTTTTCATAATAATAATACTCACATTTGATTCAGTGCCTCTCCAATAAAGCCCTTATCATCCACGACCTCATCCTGGATGAGCACATCGATACTCTTGGGCTTACAGAAACCTGGTTTCCTCAGTGACCTCGTCCCCTCGTTGAAGCCTCCCCTCCCTCCTTTTCACCACACCCCCGCCCCAACCAATGTGGTGTCAGGGTGGCCCTCATCTTCCAAGCTTCCCTTGGTCTATTCCCCTATTTTTCTGGCTGTTTCTCCTCCTTTCACCCTCTACCATCCCTCCTCTCTCTCTCCCTCAAAATCCTCCTAGTTTACCGACCCCTTAAACCTCCTGGCTCCTTCCTCACCGATATCTCCTCTCATCCCTGTTCCTCTGCACTGAACACCTGCTCATAATGGGTGTTTTCAACCTCCACCTAAACTCCCCTTACACCCCCTCCTCGGATTTCACTGCCCTCCTCTCCTCCCTAAACCTCACCCTCCACATCAACTCGCCGACCCACAACCATGGCCACTCCCTCGACCTCGTCATCACACACGGCCTTGACATTTCCGACCTGTTTATTATGGACAAGGCCATCTCGGACCACTTCCTCATCTCCGTCTCGTCCCACATACCCCTCCCCTCTTCCAAGCCCTCCACCTTGTTTTCCGCCCCTGGAAAAAGCTTCCCCCCCGAGTCCCTCACAACTGCCCTCTCTTCCTCGGACCTCCTCTCCCTCTGGACCTCCACCCACAGCGATCCTGATGCAGCCATCAAGCTGCTGAATGACCGTATCTCTTTGAGATAGATTTTGAGACCTAATAGAGGTCTTCAAAATCATGAAGGGATTTGATAGGTTAGAAAGGGAAAAACTGTTCCCACTGGTGTGTGTGTCGGTGACTCAAGGTCACAGATTCAAAATAGTCTCTAAAAGAAGCCGACGGGAGGTGAGAAGAAATGTTTTCACGCAGCGAGTTGTTCGAATCTGGAACGCATTGTCTGAAAGGGCGGTGGAGGCCGATTCGATTTTAAAAACGTGGTGGACGGGTATTTGAGGAGGACGGGTTTGCAGGTTATGGGGAAAGGGCCGGGGAGTGGGACTGACATTACATTGCTCTATTCAAAGAGCCGCACAGACTCGATGAGCCGAATGGCCTCTTTTTGTGCTGTACGATTCTATGATTCTACGCTGATCTCCACAACCTTCAATTCCCTGGCTCTCCTGAAATCCAGAATTATTTCCAAACCCACCCGCTCCCCCCGGTACAACAGTCATCACCGCTCACTCAAAACACAAACCCAGACGTTCGAGCGCAGATGGCAAAAATCCGGCCTCATGATTCACTGCCAGCTGTGGCCCGAGCACCTCCACACCCACCACCTCTCCCTTTCACAGGCCATAACTGACTTTTACTCCCAAAGTCATCCTGGAAGCCAAAAACAACCCAAAGACACTGTTTTCCACCGTCCATCACCTCCTCAATCCACCCCCTCAAGCCCCCTCGATCCTCACGTCAAACATCAAGAGCAAAAGGTCCTGGACTTCTTGGCCTCAAAGATTGAAAACATCCACTTGGCTACATCGTCCTCCCCCACCATGTCCCTCCCACCCCACCCAGACCATCCACACTGCCTTCTCCCTCTGCCACGGTTCCTGCCGCTCCCCCCTCCTTACAATCCTTTGCCCCCATTTCTCCCTTCTCCTCTCAACCACAATCACCCGGATGATGTTCACCACCTGCTGCCTTGACCTCCTCCCCACCAGCTGCCGGTCACTCAATTCCCCCTCCTCTCCCCCTGCTGGCCGACACGGTCAACCAATCTTTTTCCTCAGGCCCTGTTCCACTCCCCCTGAAAACCCCTGTCATCACACCCCTCCTCCCCGCCTTCTCCACAACCACAGCATTGCCCACCTCCAACCGTTCCTTACCCCAAATGCAGCCGAAACCCTCGTGCATGTGCTTCCTTCAAGACCCATCTCAAGACCCTTCGACCGTGCCTTCGATCATGTTCCTTCCCCCCTGCTCTCCACCCTCCCTGAACCCGACCCCCAGCTCGGATCTGAAACACTGATTGTTCAGTGCCTTGGGACGTCCTCCCGACGTAAAAGGCGCTATACAAATATCATTTTGTTGTTGTTGTTGATCCAAATCCCATAACATCTTATAACTGAATTACAGCACAAAACTATACCAGCAGATGTTACAGTTAACTCAAATGTGCTCCCCTTATACTTGGTTGTTCATGGAAAAGGCTGTGTGTACATTGGCTGCTGCAATTGCCCACATATACATAATCACTACGCTTTACAGTAAATCCTGTGAAGTGCTTTGAAATGTCCTCCTGATAGGAAAAGGCATTTTATCAAAAGCAAGGATTATTATTTCAATATTTTCTAATTCTCCTTTGCTGCGAATATTAGTTGCCTGTTTGAAGAGAAATTATGTTACCAGCGCCTTGGGACGTCCACCAGTGCCTTGGGATGTCCACCAGCGCCATGAGATGTCCACCAGTGCCTTGGGATGTCCACCAGCGCCTTGGGATGTCCAAGGTACTATACGAAATGTGAGTCATTGTTGTTTCTGACACCCTTTAAACATTCAAGTCAATGTGTTGAATTGTGCTACTGTATTGAAGTTTCCAATGCAATGAATATGTAATGAGCATCTGAATTCCAAGTTGCTTGGTTGTCTTTGAAACCCTTTGAGATGCAAAATGAAGGGAAGTACACCTAGCATGCTTTCAGTTATGTATTGTGACAGCTTGTTTTTTCCCTTTCAAACATCTTTCATAGAAAATGATTCCCACTGTATAAACTCCTATCCTTATAAGACTCCCATTATTATTTTGTGTCTCTTGATGCTGCCTCTTAATACTGTTCCCTTTTGTAAGTGGCAGAAAAGATTGTGCTAACGTATTGCAGAGAGGTGATGCTATTGTTTCAAGAACAGGCCACCATAGCTATCAGCAGCACAGCAGTATGTTTGTGAAAAGGTATTCATGCAAATTATCTTTGTGTAAATGGTTTAATTCAAAAGGAACATGTATTGTCTGAGTTAACAGGTTTCTTAAATACCAGTGAGGGTCATCTCTATTTGAATATGCACCGCATTGATGCCTTATACTGTGTCCTGCTATATTAATGCAGGCTCAGTATGTGAATCTGCGTGGGTGGATTGAGTGGAGCTGACCTGTTTATACTGCTGTTTCGCAGCAGGGAGCTCTATGAGAGCAATTTCTTTCTGGGAATGCATTCGTGTCTGTGCACATACTGACAGTGCAAGCAGTATGATGTGCAGGACCAGGACAGAATGGGGGGAGACCTATGAGTAGAAATCAGTGCACGTAGAACGTCAAACAATGTTTAGAATCTGGAGGCCCCAATCTCATGCTGGTATGAACTCTATGTGAAGGTAAGCAGAATTCGAAGGATTCTGGTATCATCGGGCGCAGGGATGACATCCTGACTTTAAAGCAGTTCTTAGAATCATTGAAGCACAGAAGGTGGCCCTTCAGCAAATCGTGCCTATACCATGACAGCTCCCACTGGAGCTATCCAGTCTCATCCATTTCTTTGCTCTTTGCTGGACAGGTGGAAATGCTACAAATACTGTTGCATGGTATCTCAACTTGCAGTCTAAATAAAGACACAATCGAAGATGAATTCTGTGTCTTTGCTGGAGGTCGTTGCTGTGTGCAATGCTGCCATGTTCACCTAACAATGCTGTCACTACACTTCACAATAATTCACTGTAAAGCACTTTGAGATGTTTTGATGTTGACAGGTTCTGTATCAATGCCATATTACGATATTATTACAAATTGGAATTATTCAAGTCTGTCACCACAACAAGTCAGATTGAAGTGCATTTGAGATAGCGCTCCAAGGATATGGGGAAAGGGCAAGAAAATGGGAATGAAAGGAATGCTCTTGAGGGAGCTGACACAGACACAATGGGCCGAATGGTCGCCTTCTGTGGCATAAATGTGTATGATTCTATTCAATGCCTTTCACGTTGGAAAGACATCTCAAAGTACTTATGTTACTGTAAAGGAACTTCTTACAAACCTTTTAGTAAGCAGCCCACCTCTGCATGAAATGTGTGAGAGCACTGCTACCATCTTCAGTTTGAGCTGCACCATGAAGCAGCAATTCCATCATTTGGAAGGTCAAAAGGCTATGAAAATCTTTGAATCTAACATAGGTGGGTTTTCTCAAACCATATAGCTTTTCGCAATCTCACCTGTCCCACACACCTCAAGAGAACCCAATCTGACCTGTACCTTCCTGATTACAGCCTCCCAATGCATTCTAACATGGGAAATGAAAGTGGTCATAATCCTCCTGGTGCACAGCATTATGTTGAATATTTCCTTAAAAGCAATGAAACTTACAAAGGACATTGGTACGTGAACTTCGGCTAATGTTTTAGGAGCAACTGCACACTCCATGGGTCTTTACAGTGTATCCAACACACACACAAAAGATAGAGACTTGATGTATGTGCAAAATGAAATACATGATACCCCTTTTGTCACACAAACAAATCTCAGTTTTGCTTAGATGATAGTGCACTCTCTCTGGGTTAGAAGATTGTGCATCGAAATACTAGGTTGGGACTTGAACTCTTTAATAGAGAACTACTTTCTTCGCCAACAATCTCCTGGATAAATTGTTCATTTACCTTGTTTGTGAGCCCTTGCGCCTTCCACATCGGGACATCCTCCCAACATGAAAGGCGCTATATAAATGTAATCTTATTGCTGTTGTTCTGTGCACTTCCAACAAAAATGACTATATGGTAAAGTATTTAGATGTTATGACAAACATGCTCTAAAATTGCAAGTTTTCTTGCTTTTCCATCTGTTTGAACAATTTAATTTATCTAAATGGAACACTTGGCACGGAGCAGAATTTATGCCCCTCACTTAACCAGTATCTCCTGCACCAATGAACAACATTTTCTTAAAAGTTTTTTTTCAGGATTGATTTTTCTTTTTTTTTCTTTCAGGCATAAGAGGACAATTCCAATGTTTGTGCCAGATTCATCTTCTAAGATGCAGAAGTTTACAAGGTACTTATGCTTCTGGATATGGCTGCAAGTTAAGTTTTATCTGTGGTAAGAACATAATATGTAACAAGAAATCATACATAGAGAATGACCTGGTTATAATGCAGTGGTTGGCCAGTTAGGGCACCACACTTTCAATATGTTGGGAGTTCCACAATACACCCAGAGCTGAATGGGGAAGTCTGTTCCACTTGAACCACAAATTGTATCCCACAGCTGCTCAGCTGCAATATCTGCAATTCAGTCTGAACATGAGCAGAGATTAGGTTGTGAATCTTGGCTCCAACACAATCCCGTTATCGTGAGAATAACACAGAAGATGAGGTTGGAGTTTTCATGTTTGAAGTCACAGAATTGCTATTGCCTAGCCATCTTGTAAGCAAGGTATATTGACGGTGTTAACATGATTCTCTGTATATTATAAACAGTGATTTTCTAAGTTTCGTTTAAACTAATGAGCAATGTGGCAGTTAGGTTTGTTTTCTAATGTAACAACAACAACAAAATTCCATTTATTGAGCGCCTTTCACATCGGGAGGACGTCCCAAGGCGCTGTACAGTTGGGTCAGGACCCGAGCGGGGGGGAAATGGTGAAGGGAGGGAAGGGAGGGAGCGAGGAGGGGGTAGAGAGTCGAGCTGAAGGCACGGTAAGAAATCATTCAGGAAGCAGCATAGCATTCCTTGTTATGACATTTTTTTATTGCAACAGATTTCCCCAGTACAGATATTGGGTCCCATTATAATACATAGGTGAGCTCAAACTATATACATTATAGGATAGGAAACAATTTAACAGTCCCAATGAGGTTATAAATAATGAGTTGGGTATGTTTATAACTATAATTGCAGTAGTCAACTTAAGCACACTCAGCCCTGGGCAGAAGGTCATGGGTTCAAGTTCCATGTTGGAAATGCCCCCAATGCAAGGCATTACACCAAAGTTCTGTCGGTGTGTTTTGAAGCTTCCATGATGGTATTCAAAATAGATGGCATATTCTCCCATTATGTACATAATACTAAATCCATT